CTCCCTCCTCCACTCAGCTTATTTCTAAGAAGAGGATAAGATTTTTTCCAAATGTTATTTAACAAATTAATGACTGCAAGTAACAGTTTTGTAATTGGGGGGGGGGGGAAATCACTATTTGTATATACTTCCAGATTTCAAATTCATAGAATAAACTCTAATGCAAGAATCAGTCCAATTAAGTTATCTGCTTAATGTTAAGATAAACAAATAACATAGTATAAACATGACATCTGAAGTGCAGTCTTTTGAACTGCTGTCAGATGTTTCAGCTAATAAGGACCACTAATAAATTATCTTGGAACTACGAGTGCTAACTTGTGAAGACTGAGGACAGAACATCCTGGGGCTGCATGTCCATATTGAGTGGGAACAATACACCCAAGCTGGTCTCCCACACTCCAAAAGAAGTCACCAAGATCTCTTGGCATTCCACAAGCTTTCCTGCTCTAGAACCTTTATTTTACACATGAATAAACAACCCTCATCCTTGAAAGCACTGGTAGTGTCTGAGTTTAAATACTTAAAATAGGCAGTTAATTTGAAATCCATCCAGACTGCTGATGTCTGAGTATAAGAAAGACCAGTCTGGACAGTGTTACTTGTTTTGTCTTAACAATGGGAGAGCTTTAGTCAAAAATAACAGAAAAACACCCACTAGGAGTTTCTTTGATCTCAGCAATAGCTGAAGGCAACACATACCACCAGGAAATGTAGATTTTACAGGCATCTTGGGATGAATGCACCAGCCACCTAATAAAAGTAGTTTCTGGCCGCTCAGCTAGTAAAAAGAATAGTAAGACAATAATTTGATTTAATGAACACTTTTTCAACAGCTCCTTAGTTAACACAGATATAGCTTATGGTACCATGTAACTTTAGTATGTAACAGAGAAGTCACATCAATTCTGAAGCATTAAATCACAGGAATTACAGGGATCAGAAAACATTCGTCCAGCAGATGCAATGTTGTATAATGTGCTAGGAATATTGTTAGTATTTCTAGTCTTCTCTAGATCACAATATTGTCAAAGAACACAAGCCAATCTAGTACAACATTTTTTTTAATAGTGCTCTAGCAGCAAACAAATCAAATTATGACATTAAATACTTAGTATCTTTTTCCTTTATTCTTTACTCCAGATCCATTCTGTCACACAATAATATGGTAACATAATTTCTACATTCAAGCAGTAATTAACCAGTAACAAGAATATGATAAACTGTAATACACGTATTGAAATTCAAACTGTAAGGAGATACTCACATGATATCTGTAACTGTTCTACAGTTTCCATTTTGTGTTCTTAACAGATTAATTTTTTTTTTAGAAGCTTTGTGATTTCTTTTTAGCCAAACAATGGCTTTATTGAGTGGCATAAATTTTGTTTTGATGTGTTTTTGTTGCAGCAGCAACACTAACATGCCACAATTTATACACCTTGTTATTGAACAGCCCTGGTGTCTCAGCACAGCACAGTAGGCTCTGAGTTGTACACAATCTGTCAGTGTTATTTTGGACCACTATTCTAAGAATTTTACACCAAATTTTTCTCAGTATCACACATCCAAAAGATTTGCGAGGCTGTCTATTTCACTATGGAAAATCAATTCAGTAAGTTTTATCTATCATTTGCTCCAATGACCCCAACATGGCCTGATGCTCCAGTCTGGCAAATGAACATGCTGCGCATTCACAGTACATACTTTTCGGGTTTTAGAAAGCTTTTCAATCCATAAGAGACTACAGAAATCAACCTATCCATAGCCCTAGTTGCTGAAGTATGTCTCATCAGAGAGGCACTGGACTAGCTCTTGCTAACTTTATTCCCTCTCAACTTGTTTTCTCCACCCACACATGAAAAAAAAAAAAACTTATCAATCAAGTAACAACCAACCAAACTGCCTGACACCTGAGGTCTCCATCCCCAGGAACAACCACGCAGGCTGCACTTGTGATTCCATGGTAGCAACAATACATGACTAAATGGAGTAAGGGATAGAACAAGCAATTTAAATCAGTCAGTTCTGACTGAGATGGCATGCAGCCACTGGTGGCCACAACAGGGCAGCGCAACCCAGTCTAAGGACTAAGTGGCAGACAAGGCTCATTGGTGCACACTCTGCAACACAGCACATCTCACCACTTCCCTGATGCCCAAGCAGAACTGCTATGGAGAATTAACCAGAAGAACTCCTGAGCCAGCACCTCAAACACTTTCATCTTCCTCTACATCTGGACAGCACAAAAACTTCCATAATGAAGCTTCTGCATTCTTCAGAAAGCAGTTCCCTCTTCCTCACTACAAAACTACCAAAAAATAACCACCAGCTTCCTTTCCACTGCCCTAACACAAATAAAAGGTGTAACTAACCAGCATCACATTCAGTGCTAGGTCCTTATCCTTATTACTCTTTCCCCAGGTCCTCTTAGTGTTTTCACCAAAAACTGAAAATAATGCATAACCCTGTATTAGTGTTACAAATCAACATGCTGATTCAAAGTGACTGTCCTGTTAGCTGGTAGAAAGTGCAACTCATAAATTCAAGTTTACCCAAGTACACTTTGCGACTGAAAAAAAAAAAAACCCCACACATAAAAACAGAAAATCACTTTCCACTCTTTATAACTTTGCCAGGCTTTACCCTTTTCAGTTAATAACCTCTACTCTGTGTGTTTAGCCCAGAACCTAGTATCACTTTTAACAACTCAACCTGAAAACTGGGAAAGTTATTTTCCCAAACTAGAGAACCACCTCTATCTCTTCCACTAGCAGCAATTTACTCTCTCACTAGGAGATGGTTTTTCTATTCCAAAGCAAAACAAAAAAAAGTCAATAAATTTCAAGATCACTTGCAAAAAGATCTAAGTCCTTTCTTTGTGTGCCTTGCATTCTTTTCATGTTGACCAGCTTGTAGAGCTAGAGGTACACAAATTTACAGCTAATTCAGCATGCACCCAGGGGAAAAGACAAAATAGTATGTCCTAAGGAGTAGCTATGCCGTTTAGCTCCAGAAATGCAGGGCCATGTACTCTAATGGAGACTTGGTTTACCAAAGGAACATGGTCTGTGGAGAACAGCATTTTACAGAAGTGGCCCGGGACTGGTTCTTTTTACTCATTTCTTACACAGGCTGGGGTCCAAAGATTTTGGGTTTCTGTCTAACAAAATGTTCCTGAGCATATTTCCAATATTTGATTATGCCCTCCCAACTGTTCTGGTATGCACTGTTCCTTCCCTTGTTTTCAGTAATTCTTGAAATCCTGAAAAACCGAATCAGTTTGTATACTAACAAAAGCAGTATTTCCTAATGGAACATAATTTGGATAAGGACTACTTACCAAGTTAATGCCTGCAGTAATGAAGCATTACAATTTTAACTTCACAAACCAATTTGACAACTTCAGGGCTCAGAAACCCTATAAAAATACTATGCCTTAAAAAAAAAAAAATCTCAAACAGCTCAGGTGACCTGCAGTCAATATGCAATTGTAGTAGTTCACCAACAACACAAGTATTTGTAAACAAGAATATGGGCTGGGGTGCAACAGGGGAGAGGCAATTCTGCATTTTGGGGGGAGAAAAATCTGCAACATTTTTCTGGAGGTCAGTGTTTGTTAAAATAGTTTTACACTAAGATGTTAGGCAAGGTGAAATTAAGTATAAATTGTAGTAAGACAAATACTAAATGGAAGCTTGAAAGAAGGTCAAGGAAAACCACAGGAGAATTAAGTGTCTTACAAACAGCTATCTAAAGAAATATTCAGTTAATCAGAGCCACATCAAAACATCACAGCTGCTGACAGCCAAAACGCTCTTTGATTTCAATGGGAAAGTCTGGTGCTTCAGGAATGGAGAATGATCAGAGCTGTAACAGGAAGACAGGATAAAAAAAACACATAAAGATCACAGTACCCTATTAAATTTGCCATGTTATTAAAATTTTCCGTATTACCATTTATATGTATGTTCCCATGTTAAGTAGTTAATTGGACGTAAATCAAGTAACCAAAGTAAAGTTATATGCAGAAAACAGCTAGGAAACTGGATGAACAACTTACATTTTTAAGTGAATATGAACATCATTAAAAGAAAAAAAAAAGAAAAAAGCAAAGCTAGAGTGCTGACTGTAACTCTCTTATCCCATGGTGTTTTGTCATTATATTCACATATCAGCTACTGCTCCAAATTTTAGAGAGATTTGAAAAGAAATAAATGTTCTCTCCACACTTACAGCTATTATACTGCACTGCGAATTATAATATAATAGAAAAAAGGACAGTAACTGTCATTTTTAGCAGTCATACAAAAAACTTACAATATGGAGCTTGGAATTCTATTTATACACTCTATTCAAATCATTTTCTCTAAACAAAGAAAAAATCTTAGAAAAGCACACAAGAACAATAATTAACAAATTATTACAACACATTATAGAACACATCATAGAACAAGGGCTTACATTTATCTCGTGATTAGCACATAAAACAATCCCTGCAGTTTGGACACATCATTCCCCAAAAATCTTTAAACATCTCAGTATGCAAATAAATTCTTTTCCTTTTTTGTGTAAGGTTGACAAGGTCAAATCGATTACACTGCAAAGAACTGATGCTGATTCCACTGCAGCAACCAGAGTAGGTCAAGAGATGCAAGTAGCCTGCAGCTACAATGTGAATGAGACAGACCTGCAAACCACTTATCACTGTCAATAATTGATTTGAACAAATTCTCTTTCCAAATACATTGACTGAATAACAGAAGAATTTAAGAGGATTACTATTTACATAAAAAGAAGGGCTAACCTTATTTTTTTTTAAAAGAGTACCACCAAGTACACCTGATAACAATTACCTTGTCTTACTTAAGATACTAAATGAGCTTTGTACTGTAACTAAGTTGCTCAAAACAAAAACATCACCCTGTTTCAGTGTAAGAGTTCTAGCAGGTTTGAAGAAGGCACCAATAAATATACAAAATTAATAGTGTCAGTAATACCTTTCACCACAGCTTCTTTATACTTTTCTTTGGCAGAATTTACTTCTTTTATTAGTTGTCTATAGCTAGATTTTAGTTTCTCTAGTTCTGTCTTTGTGACCTGTAAGAAAAAAGAAATATAAGAAATATTAAAAATACTTAATCACAACATATAAAAAAACCTCATAGCATTAGTTTAAGAGAATTAATATTTATTTTCCAAAATAAGGATGTTAACACTTCCCAATAGCTTGAGATAATATTAATAGGATATTACATGGTGGAACAAAATCAAATTCAACAAATGCGTGGAATGAAATAAGAGGCATGGAAACAGATCTCCATCCACATCAGTGTAATGAAAAATGTTTAGGAAATCCAGCTAATCTTAAACACTTCCATCACAATGACAAGATAAAAAAAAAAAACGAAACACCAAAAAGATGCTTAATAAATCATATTAGATGAAAAATTTCTATGCATGGGAAGGAAAACCTTTAGCATCTTTAAAAAAGTCAGAATTTTTAGGTATTACAGTTCCTAAAAATGGCTTAGAAACTTCAACTGCAACCAATCTAGCTGCTGTAACACTTAAACCCTAAATAGCAAAAAAAAGGGGGGGAGGGAAAGGAAAAAAACCCAAACAAAAAACCCAAAACAAATTCTTGTGAAACACTGCACAGATGAATCTTTTTGCAGTGGAAGCAGGCCCTTTATTTTTTTTGATCAAAAAAATAAAGTTGTCTTTTCTATCCCCTACTTACATTTACTGTTCACAAATAATCACAAATCATGAACTCGCAAACAAAAGCTAGTAACAATCTAGCCACTACAATACCAAAAGGGTGGCATATATAGTAATGAAAAGTAAAAACTCTGACAAAAATACACTCAAGATGGGAAAAGAGGAACTTAGTGTAATGGAAGTACTTTATACAATGAATGTGCAGAAAAGGAAGTCCGTTCCACAGGAAAACTGTTCCCTGGCGTGACGAAAGCTGGAGTTCACAATTCTCCACTTTTTCATGAGGCAATGCCCAGATACCACTGCTTTTACCCTTAATGGAATTCTTCAAAGATGCAGCAAGTTGCCATCTACAGCTTCTATTTCTGTGCCGATTGTGCAAAGACTTCACTTAAAGGCAGTAACTTCTCTCCGCACAGATCCCATATTCTCATCTGATATTTCTACACACTGTAAATTATACTCACAATTGTTGCTATTACAGACAAGAAAAAATAACTAAGACAAACAAAACTTATTATAAAAACTCTGTGAGAAACTGAGAAAAAAGATGAAGTTAGGAAGTAATGAACACAATTAAGACATAAATAACAAGGAAGTGTTTCTCTTATGAAAAACTGGAAAATAAAAGACAATTTGTAGCAATTACAAAATGTATTTTACTGATTCTCAGACTGTGCTCTTCCAACAGACAAAACCAAAACTAAGAGCACCTCCATCCCCAAACGACACTTAACTAAGATAGTCAAGAGTCAAGGTTGTACATGCATTGTATGCACAGTTGCATATAAAATAAGGAAGATGTTCTTTACTGTGAGGGTGTAAGGCACTGGAACAGGTTGCCCAAGGCAGTTGTGAATGCTCCATCCCTGGCAGTGTTCAAGGCCGGGCTGCATGGGGTCTTGGGTGACACAGTTTAGTGTGTGGTGTCTCTGCCCATGGCAGGGGGGTTGGAACTAGATGACCTTAAGGTCCTTTCCAACCCTAACTATTCAATGATTCTATGATCTTAAACCCAGTTTTAACAGCAAAAAGTCTTGCCCACCTAACTAGCACAGTCCTCTTTTTTCCTCAAGTTTCATGGGAAAAAAAAAAAATCCAGTATCTGAACAGGAATTGGAATAAATCTACAAGAGATGAGTTCTACTGTATTTGTGTAAAAGCCATGGTGTTTCACTGTCATTAAGAGTTTTACCAAAAGATTCCTCAGTGAAGAGGTGTCTAAGAAAAGGAAAGGATGATACATATGTATTTCACCTAAAGGAAAACACATTTTTTTGCCATTGATCCTATAAATATAAACTGCACAGACACTAACCTTCACAAGATTTGGATAATGTCCTGGGAAGTACCAAGTGTGCTGCTTCTGTGTGTAACAAAAGCAGAAGTAATAGAGACTATGAGAAGTATTTTGAATTCCTGGGAACCATTCTTTAAGTGTTCCAGTGACACAAAACCTTTGAACAAACAATGTCAGCTAACAATGCAAGAGCATATCATATCTAACCAGAATGCTATTCAAATGCTTCTTAGGAAAATCAGGAAGGGGAAAAAAACACCCAAACAACAATGCAAGCTTATTCATCAGGATGCAAAATATTCGCATGGCCATGCAGCCCGTAATTAAAATCAATATGGTTTTTGAGTGCTCAATATACACTATATTTTTTTATAAGTCTTATTTTAAAATACAGCTTTAGTAGAGTTTTTATGAGAGTTAATTTCTTAACAGAAAAAAACATGTTTTGTGCAGTCTTTTTTAAGAGTATATCTGTACTTCCAACAGTCTTGCTTCATCTAGCTTCTCTTATATTACTGTTTCCATTTCCTAATTCTTTACGTATTTAATCTCTATTATTTCTAACATATGCTACCAGTTTTATCTCTTCTTCCATCCTGAGTGCTTTCAGACACACCAATCTGTAAGTGGCTGTGAGTGATTATTTGGCTTGGGAATTTTATCAGATCAGATAGTCAACTGACCATGCAAAAAACCGATGTATTCCCCACTGTCAATACCTGGGAAAGATGCCAAGATCCCAGCATATCATGGGAGCAGTCCCATTAGAGCAAACACATTTAACCTAGTAAGTTTGCTCCTAAAATTCTTCTCATAACTGGATGAAGAATTTTTTACTCATCAGTCCATGACATTTGTACTCTACTACTCAGATGTTATAATTACACTACTCTAAATTTCAAATTCTCTGCTGGAACAAAGAAGAAACAGTGCTTCTTCTCTCCGCAGACCTTTAGGACTATAAATCTGAAATTTTTGACATTTACAGTTAAACTTACTCCAGAGCTCCTGAATGAAACCGTGATTTCTGTCAGCTTTACTGACGAGATACACTGCTTTCAACATAAGCAGGACAACTGACATGTAATAGAAAAGGCCCTGAAGACCTCCATCTGCAGCCATAGTGTTTGGTTTACACTTGATTTACATTTTAGAATAGAGACTAGAAGCCTTCCCCCTCAAAATAGTCTGGACTATCAAGAGCATTCATTCACAAATGTTTCCAGTGCCTTGGTCCGATGCATGTCTGGAGTGGAATGAGAACAGGAAGAGAGATGGAACAGAGATGCATCCAACAGAATCATCCTTTACTGGAACAAGAGCATTTCCAGTGCTTTTGTTCATATAAAAGAAATGTATTCATCTCTGCCTTGTCAGCTAGCAGGGGAGAGAAAATGTAGAGGAAACAGCTAAAATTTAAACTAGATTCTACATATCACAAATCACAACCTTTTTCATAGGACAACCATAACCACAAAAATAATCCACTCTCAATATACGACTTTTAAACATACGAAACTATAACAAATTTATCAAGTACAATTAAATAACACACCTTGTACATCTCTGCTTCAATTTGTTGATGAACACCTATGAAACTCTTCTTAACCTGCTGCTTATCTTTGATCATCATTGTAAGCCTATGCAAAGGCCCAGAATTAAGGTCTTCTGCATGCGTCTTCATTATTTTGCTCAGCTGTTCTGTTTGCTGTACCACAAGCAACCAAGACTATAAAAAAAAGCACAAACAGAAAACACTCACTTACTCTGGCTTACAAATAACCAAACAATGAACATGAACTGTGAGACAAGATGCATCATTTAAAATTCAGTATAATCCATGAAAAAAAACCACGAATTTTAAACTTACCCAAATTCACTTCCAAAATAAAAGTTCTTCCTGCTACAGCAAAATCATGCCTTGAACTTACTCATAAAACCATAAAAAAGCACCAGAGACAAAAATACAATACTGTAGGTTCACCCTTCAGCACTGACTTAGTACTTCTAAACACTGATGAAAGCTTTACAGCCTTTTTTTGGAATACATCCCCAACACCCCTGACAACCATGTTCGCATGTCCTTTGTTCTCCTGTTTCTCAAACAGTTACTCTGTTCAAGCTGACTTCCCTTGTCTAAATACCTCACATTAATATGCATTTGAGTGGTTACTGTTTAAGACCTGCTTCACATAACTGACAGCATCAGTCAGGCCTCCAGTACCAAAGCATAAAGTGCTAATAGCGTAAGAGACACAAAGAGTTACTCCTGTCATAGTAATCTATCATCTTTCTGTACCCTCATTTTAATAACCTCCTTGGCCACTCAGTCAATCTTCAGGACAGCTTAATGTGCTGTCTGTGGCTTTGAATTTTCATTAAGAACTCTAAGGTGAATAGAGACACTTCCAAAGCACCACAGATAAAAATACAAAATTAAAATTCAGCTCAAACAAAAGCATTTGCTATCCTAAAGATCCCTGTCACAGTCTGTTGACAGGAACAGTACTGTACTGCTTAGCAAGAACTCCCTGATACTGAGTACTATGCTGTATCCAAAATTCCAGGAAGGCTATATGCCATACAATTATCAGGTTTTGAAGGCAGCTAGTATGCTAGTTTTACTAGCATTTATTTTACTCTTACAAAAGACAGAAATTCACCTTAGATCATCAAAATTTAGATAAATAGTTTGTTTGGTAGCTTTGGGGTTTCCTTATATCTCAGCTATAAACACACATGCACACACAAAAATATATATAGTATTTTCATGTCTAAATGACAATGCTGCAATGCAAACTGGATTCTTGAGAAGGAAACAAAAGGTAGTTAACTCCTGTATACATTATACCATCTTTAACATTTCCGTCAGTTTGTAAACATCCCATAGACTGGTTACCTCAGGCTATCTGAGCTATCTTCATGTTGTAGCTATCTCAGACTGCTTTAAAGTCTGCTGGTGTAAAATATCATGGCCTAAAGCTCCCCAGCTATGGCTGAACACTTTTCCACCTCTCCATTAAATTTCCAAATGAGATCAGAATTATAGAACAGTTTGGCAGGGTTGGCTTACCCTAGACCATGTTGCCCAAGGCTCTGTCCAGCCTGTCCATGAACGCTGCCAGGGATGAAGCATTCACAACTTCCTTGGGCAACCTGTTCCAGTGCCTCACCTCCCTCACAGTAAAGAGCTTCCTCTTTATCTCTAACCCATACTGCATAAACTAAAAATGTCATTAAACACCTGCCTGAGCAGAGTGGTTCTTGTGGTTATAGAAGGGTTTATAAGAGCACTTTCAGAGGTGAATATGTAGTCAGAGTTCTCCATTTTCTTTACAGCTTATTTATTACTGATGAGTCAAGTACCATTTTCATCAACCCTCCAAATCACAGGAAAAGCATTTTCCAACAGGACAAGTACTCTGAAGAAATACTTAGCTTACAATCCACCAAATGAACATGAATTAAGTCAGAAACACAGCAAAAACTTCCCTTTCAATTAAAAAAATAATTAAATAAATCATTTGTACATTTTCCTGTTCTCTACATCCCTCTTTCCATACTGACAAAACATCAAGACTTACATCTATTAGTAAGATTTCTGTGTTTGCTATGACTAATTTTAAAATAGGAAAAGCTAAAGTGAAAAGGTATACTTGAGGAAAAGCTTAAAAAATAAAGAGCCATGTGGGTCAAAAAAGCAGCTGGGTAGAGAACGGCAGAAAAGGCAAAGTGTTTTCTTTCACAGAAAATAACCACAGTCCAGCAGAACCAATAGAATCAAGTATTTTTTGGTTAAAGAGTATTTTTTTAGATACGTACACAAAAAAAATTATACATATACACAACGAAGCTGTGTATAAACACTTAAAAATACTGCTTTTACAGCATTAGCAGTTGATGCCACTATGCCATCCAGCAAGTTTGCTGCCTCTGCATAGAATAAACATAGGACAGATTTTCCCAAACATCCTTTCTCTCAAAGTGCTCAGGCTTGCTGTATGCTTCAAAAGAAAACAAAAAACAGCACGCACACATAAAATAACAACAACAAAAACTAAACAAACAAACAAAATTATAAAATCACAGAATCTAGAAAGGTTGGAAAAGACCTTTAAGATCATCAATTCCAAGTATTACCCCAGGAAAAAAGCAGGTATCTTTGTATTTGGCTTTAATGCCACATTATATGAAATATTCAGTATACAAGTATTTTAAATCCTATAAAATTCAAGACGCTAGATTTATGTCCCATAATATTTGGGTTATACTTTAACTCTGTAAAATGTGAGGAAGAGAGCAAAAGTATCATGAAATAGTAAATTAGCATGAGGTGAGTGAGGTAAGCAGTATTTTGGACAATTTAACCACCAAAACCAGTAAGGCAATGTGTCACTACACAACTTTAAAATTCAAGGTGACAGTGACATTTCAAGGCAAGCTCATACAAAAGATCTGTCAGTAGTATATGAATATATTTGCTGTTATATAAAGATGTAGAGATCAGGGATTCTATTGATATCATTGAAAGAAAAATGGTATCTCTTTAAGAGAAAAAAAAAAAACAGAAAGAATAAAGGAACAAAATGATCCTGAAAGAACAACTTGCTTTCCAATTTGTGCCTATGTCCAAAACAAGATCTCAAAATATGACACACATGTACTTCTCTTCAACCCAAAAGGAACATGGCTTAAGTCAAATCTCCATTTTTTTTAGATTTATTTGATCACAGGAAGTGCCCATGTTACTGACATGAACCAAGGCAGACTGAGCTAGCTATATGAACGTTAAAGATTGTATTTTATAATGCTAAATACTCTGATTTGTCTTGCTCCTTTACCTCTCTTGCCCTAATCCACCCTGTTTCATTGGCTAAAAAAAATTGCGACAGTTTAGCTAGCACGTAAGAGCAATACTAGTGGGGCAGCAATAGCAAGTATTATTAGCCACATCACCAATAATTCTATACATAACCTCAAGATCCAAGAGTAGAAAGCTTGAAGACAATCCTGACTTCTGCTTATCTTAGTCTAACAACAATGCTTTTATGTTTATTTACCAAAATCATCACAACCTATATAGCAAGATCTGTAATAACCCATGTAGAAGAAACATAACTGGGTGAAAAGCATTTCAAATACACCACCAAAACACACAGATTAAAAAAAAAAATATAAGCAAAAAAGAAAATCAGCACCCTCAATTTACATGACAAAAATTGTTGTGGCAGAGGGAAGCAGCAGCAGGTTTTACTCTAGATAAATGTTGTGTAGTGCTACTTTTGGGGCAGCTGAAATAGGATAGCTGTAACAGCACAACATTCAAGTCACACACCCCACCACTTTAATCCAGCATAAATCTAGGCTGCTGCAAAAGGAGCACTCACATTGCTAATGCTGCACCATAGCTAGTGCTCAAGCAGCCACACCATAAACCCACTACATAAAAACTGCTCTGCCTAAAACTTAACCTGGCCCAAAAAAGGGTGCTTTCCTGCAGAGATGAGATCAGAGTCATGCCAGTATGAAGAGACTGTGGAACCACTGCTGTATCAGAAAGGGAGGGAATTAAGTAAACTGTTAGAGTGGTTTTCTCTAGTCAGGATGGAATTCCAATTCAGGAGTGAAGCATACAAACAGGTGAAATATGCAAGTTTACTTCATCATTACCTTTACTGAACTTGCTCTAAATCTGAAAATTAATAATTTGGAGGAAGGAAAGCATTACCTTTATAAAAAGAAAACACACTTATTTTAAATTGGGTACAAAATAACTTCACAATTATGAGAAACATCCTGAATTAATGTTTTGTTTTTACAACACATGCTGCAGTGTGAACAACAGCTGGAATGCTAGGCTTCGCCTGGTTTCCTGGCATTTTTCTATTTCTGTCACAAATTCTATATAACACAGATAATAGTTCCTATTTAACCATCTTAAAATAAAATCTTACTATAGCATGCTGTATTTTCAAAGCACTAAACAAAGTAACAGGCTCAACCCAGGAACTAAAACACTGAATTTCAGAATTCAGGATTGATTCTACTTCCATCATTATTTTCAAAGCAAGATTGGAGCTCAAGTTCTGCATATTCCACTGAGGAACTGAAAGGAGCGCATTTTAACTACTTCAGCAAGATTAACGCCCAAGAAGCTGAGTGACAAGAAATCCAACTCAAACTAAAGCAAGCAAAAAAAAAAAATCTAACAAACACTGTTATTTCCAAAGATATTCCAAATTCAAAATAGTCTTACCTTGGACACATTGCTGATAAAATCCAATTGACAACTGCTCTCTTTATCTACTTGATTACAAAGATTCTGTAAAGTAGAGGCATATTCCTTATCACTTTTTACTCGCATAACCATAAATTTCTTCACCGTTTCCAGCAGCCGCAGTTCCCAATCTTGCAGTTTTAATAAAGCATCATGAGAGTACTTCAGGTCACCTCCAAACCCCATTTTTTAAGGCACTATATACTACACAGGGGAAAATACAGGCTCTTCACCACATCTGAAATCAGAACAAGATTCATGAGACACTATCAAACAAAAAAAAAAAAAAAAAGACACTTCCAGTGTGACAAAGAGAAACTATTAATGTCTAAACCCTGAAATAACTGAAAGATTAACCACATACATATACTTCTTCAAAAAAAAAAAAAAAAACACAAAAGGAGAGTCAGAGTGTTTCAAACACCCACCTATGACTGGAAGAGATCTCAGGCTGTTCTCCAGTTTCCTTCTGCAAAATGTACCTCCCCAACTTAAAGTGAAACTATGGGGGCACATATAAAAACATCTAAGACAGATACTAAAGACCAATCCACTTACTTAATCAAGTAAGTATAGCTGACAGTATCTCCACACAAGGCCTGCCAACTACACTGCCAACACTCCTGGTAACCCAGAACATTGGCTTCTGGTGTTTACTCTCCTCTGAGCACAGAAAAATCCAAATAAAACATCAGCTCTCAAGCAGCACATTTGTGGGAAATGGATAGCTAGTCAGAAGCTAGTTTGCTCCTAAACATTAGCAGGCCATTAAACTTGCAGATTCAACCTCCCAAAAATCAGAAAATATTCCAAACAAGGCTCCTCATGTAATTGTCCATTGCTCCCCTGTGACACACATTAGAGGGGAGTCCCTCAGTTCACAGTTTCCCCTAAGGCAGCCCAGTCTTACTGTACTAAATGAAAACCATTTGATAAACAGCTAAGAAATGCTGCCTTCTGAAATCCTATGACACAACCACAGGTCAAAGTCATTTGTTTGAGCTAGCTCTAAAACACCTCCCTGTAATACTGAAACATGCAGCCACATCATAGAAGACCTGAAGGAACACGAGTAATTTCCACACACTTCCACAAGTTTTGTAATCCTGTTTTCTGATATACATCAAGAAACTGCTCCTACACTAAGCAGCTTCAAACTAGGTAAGATAAATTCACACTAAACTGCAATTACAGCTCTTGCAGTGCAGACACAGCCTGTGTACTCAGTCACAAATTCTTGCACCCCAGCAAAGTCCTGGCTCTTTTGAATACAGGTATATCAATTTTTTCATAGTCTTTAAATTGCTACTTAAATTAGCAGAATGTATTTCAAATATTAACAGACTCATTTCCTAACAGCCCATGGGATGAAGAATCTTATTTTACACTGAAAACTGAGACACTTAAGCTAATGACAACACTGTACCTGCTAATACTGGAATGTACATGGGTTTAAGAGCAGACTTTTCAGTGTTTTAGCCTATCAAGTATCAAGAAAAAAGCAAGATGTTACTGGCTTCAGTTACCACTGAAAAATTCAGAAGATTTTCAGATCAGAACCTAAAGCCTGATTCCCAGGACCCGCTTCTCTCTTCATGCAGTTCCCTGACTCCATTAGCTTTTCCCATAAATTATGGAAATAAGCCTCATCCACTAAGTATTTATTCTCAGAACACAAACCATACTATGTTATTAAAGAAACAAAGATCTGGTAAAATAGTAAGAATAGTACCATCCTACTATGCCTATACACAAGAGAGACAAGTCAAGGTTGTATGAGTAACCTTAAATCTATCTTAAGCCTTCATATTCTCTTTCACTTGAAGCTGTATATTTTAGTTAGAATTCTTGCTGATGGCTAGGAGCTCAGTCATAAAGAGCAACAGCAAATAATTAAAAAGGGTGGACTATGTCATTATTAGTTGTATTAATGATAACTTCCCAGTTGAAATTTAAGAAGTCTTGCAAAACTACCAATATTTTAGTAAGACAAGAAAAACATCTTAAAGCACCTACTTACTAACATGACTGAAGCAGAATTTGTGATTTTTTTGACACCCTTTAGACAAATACTAACTTTTGTGATCAAGCTAATTTTTCTCTTAGCACATTTTAGCATATTACCTAAATATCCTTTAGCTATAAAAAGGACAGCATCATCCTTTTCTTACACTCCATATTCAGAAAAGATGGGAACTGAATGTCAGGATGAAGTCTGGCCTTGTGCTATGAGTAAAGTGCCAACTTGCTTGCTTTTACTCTAAGCTTGTGCAATGAATAAAATTTGTTTGCTTTCACTCTAACCTCTGTCTTTTACTGAGAGGTAGGAAGGCAAGGGCAAGAGGAAATATTCTCAGCATATGGTATTTCAGCCTGCTTCTACCGACTCACTGTGGAGCCATACAATTTCAAAAATCAATAGAAGATCCAACAATATCTCACTCTAGCGTGTTTAGCCTCCCTTCACTACGTAGGAATTTTTTTTTTCTGATTGCACTATTAAATGCCTGGGTACCTAGATAAATTTGCACAAATACTGCACTGCGGTCCTGGTTTTAAATTATTCCATTCACCATGGCAGAAGCAGCACAGTAAAAATTAGTTTTTCAAAACTAATAAAATTCTGACTCTGTAAGACTAACGAACATGAATAAAGTCTCAGAGCTGTTGACTCCCAACTGGGTAAGCCAGCCTTTGTATGCCTTCATTGTAAATTAATGAAATGTTCAATCAAAACATTCAGCAAAACTCAAATGGTCCAATATTGTGGAGGTAAAGAAGTGGTGAACAAGTATCCAGCACCTCAGCAATTTAACTGTTGGTTAGCTAAAACCCAATGCTTTAATTAAAACCACTTTTAATTTTTTAACATATTTTAACAACTGAAAACAGTACAGATCAGAGTCACTTATTTGAAGTCAAAACTGTAAGAATTACCAACACATGGACATGTTCTACACAATCTTTATTTCCGTTACTCTTAACAAGCACAAGCACATTGCCAATGGACACTGTTCAAAGAGAAAATATCTGGCACCAATACAGAAACGTATTTTTCCAAGTTTGGTATCTCCCTGCTTTGCACGCACAGGTGAGTTGACAGCTGCCCTACAGGGTGAGACCAACAGAACAGAATATTTCAGTTTGAAGGGACCTACAACAATAATCTGGACAAAATGACCCATTTAGATCAGCTCTCCATCTCCAACCATGGCACCAGGAGGTGCTGTTCAAGGACAGCAAACAAGTTGGGCTGCTATTTCTGGCATGATCTTCCTTCTGCTTCCCCATGTTCACAGTTACAGGATTACAGAAGAAATATTCATAGTCCCATTTTTTGGCTTTACCATACATTACAATGCTCAGATTGTACATGCAAGATAGATTCAGATTCAGATTTTGCAACCACATATTAGCGGCAAAATGAAGTACTGCAACAAAATTTGACACCAGAAAAGATTTACCAGAAGAAGATAGGGGGAGTTTCTACTCCAGTGTTGAAAAGATGAAAATATAGTATCAAAAATTCTAAGGGAAACAAAATCCTGCTCAAAAGATTTTTGGGAGAATATTTTACCTTAAAGTAAAAAAAAAAAACAAAAAACAAACCCAACCAAAAACCACAGAGATGGCATCACATTTTAAAGTAGCTGGATGGAAAACTGATGCCAACAAGCATGTGATATGCTAAATTCATACAGAAGAAAACTTTAGGAATTACTTGCTCTGACTCTGAAGAGATCTTTCCTACTTCTGGCAGATACCCATGAGGCTTATCTCCTTTTCCATGCATGAACAATATTTGCATAATTTGACAAGCCAATGAAGTCTGAATTCTAGCATGTTTTGTTAAAGTAATAACATCCCAGTGGTGTTAAAGAGGACAAATGAGTTTCAGCTAGTTTATTTTTTTTATTTTGAAAAATATATATATGCTACTACAAAAATTGTGGATATGCAAATTAGTCAACCAGTACTTGGTAAGCTTTAATAATTAAATACGTACCAGAGCCAATTCAAAGAAAGTAAGAATTTCTTTCTTTTTAGAATCACTCTCAAAAGAACAAGCTTATCACTGACAGGAAGTGAACACTCACTACATTTAACACCACACTGTGAATAAGCAATCAGACCCTGAACAGCAATAAATGAATACATAGTTACTGAATACAGCTTATAACTTGTCTTCACCACCACCACAGTGAGGCAATCAGATTTCAAACAAAGTAATCTTAAGTTTTGTCAGCGTGACAGTAAGAAAATTCAACGAGTCACATAATTCTTCAATATTGTAGCACTTCCTTCAACAAATAAAGCCGATATTTTAGCATTAGTTGTCTTCCTGAATTCCAGCAACATCTCTGAAGCAAGTAGTTTTCATAGCAAATCTACATTTAACTTAAAGATTGCAATCTGTTCATGACACATGACAGTGGCCATACCATGACAGATCCTGTGTGTCTGACAATGGCTGAAATCATATGAGCACGGAACACATACATGGCAATACTTTTCCATGATGCTGTCCTACTCTCATAACAACTGGTGCTTTCTGTTATATACTGCCATGAAATATATCCAAGACTGTGACTGCTAGTCTTAAAATTATGATGGATCTACATGCATCAGTTGGAACTTGTGCTTTTACAATATCGATGGCAAGGTAAGCAACTGATAAACCACAGACCAGAAGCACACCTGACCCCCGGTTAAACTCAGTACAAGAAAGTACAGAACACATCTGGCCCCTACAGAGGGAGCAATATGGAATGGGCATGGTACACAGTACACCATACTCACTCTTGATCTGCTGTCATCTCCCTTGATCCTAAATCTACATGGACTCCAAATCACTTAGCGTGGCTTATAGTTTGCCTCCTAGAAACATTAATAAAACTGCAAAATCGGAAAATAAGAGGACTTGGATTCAGGTGACAAACCCTCAAATGCAAGGCTTCTGTAGTGATTTAAAAGCAATTTTATAATAGATGACCAATTTGTTAAGTCCAACTCAGTTTTTGAATGTCAGGCTTATGGCAGTTAAATTCCATTAAAACAGTGAAATGAATCATTCTTAGCCCTCCATCCATACCTTAAATGAAAATTGAATTGTTAAATAATTGACATTTCTGTAAGCGTAGGATCTATTCCTGGAATGTTCAAGACCATGAAACAGAAAATATATGATTTAACTACTATTTGTTTATACTAACCACATATTCAGTATTTTAATGTGAAATGCATGGAACATGAACTAGCAGAATTAATACTTCTATGGAGCTACTGCCATCAATAAACATTCAAAGTTATAATCTAAAGCTAGCCTGATCATTTCAAAATTGGTCTAAATATTAGTCCACTCAACGTAAAATAGCCAAGTTATTTTCAGGAAGGCCTTTCTGCAAAACACAGCTCACATACCTTAAAAAAAGGTCCTCAAGAAATGATCCTTAGTACACTTCTCTCTACGTCAGCAGCTACTTCTGATTTTCACTTTACGAAATATGCTTTTATTTTCTGGGAACTCTGGGAAAGAAACAGAGATCAAACTTCTTTATTTTAGCATTTTAAAATAAATTGTAAAACTTAAGGTTATGTAAGTTGCTTTGCATTTTCAGGCTATTACCAGAAGACAGATATATTTATTTTTTTTTTTTAAGATCACTCAAGAAAACCAATGACTGCAAGCAGCAGCAGTAGGCTATCACTTCATACACCCAGTTCTGAGGGAAGAAATTATTTTGCCTCTACACATGTAACCAAAGATTGGGTTTTTTTAAGTTCTTGAAATTTCTTATGACAGAGTGTACTGTAACCATAAAATTGAATAATTTCATTTATTTCTGAACTTTGCCCTTGACAAAACAAAAAGGAAGCCAGTTAATAAGGAAAACGAAAGCATGAAAGGCCAAAATTCATCATATGAAAGACAAACTTAGTAGCAGTATTTTCACAGCACTGTAAGAAAACAAGCGTCAACATAAGGGACCAATCAAGACACAGAAATTTCTTATATGGCTCTAATTACTCCAATATCTGGAGCAGTAAGAGGTCAGGTGACTGCAGCACAAAAATTTCAAGCTGTAACTCTGAACTGCAATCTAGATGAAGCAAACTGAAACAGAAGACTGCATCTTTGAGGTTTTATATTGAAAAAAAGTATATGAAATATAAAAAATAATAAGAAACAGGCTTTGCTATAGCTTACAAGTGTTAGATATACTGTGTAAGCTACATCTAGACCAATATCAAGTGGTCACTCACACTCTTATGCCAGAATGTCTCATCTAAAGATTTAGCTTTAGATGAGACATCCAATATTAGTTTAGCAATACCCTTTTAAGAAAGGGCATATTGAGCAAAACTGAAAGACAGACAGTGTGTAAGGATAAAGAAAACAGAATTATTTTCAAGATCACCACTATGTAAAACAAAGCACTTATGTACGCATTTACAAAATCTTATGAAGGGATAGCTTTATTTTATGCTGAAGCAGCCATTATTTAGTATTCCCTTCTGGTTACTTAGTGACATTCTAGAAACAAAGTGCTGCCTAATATAAATACGAAACTTCAGTGCTCCATGACCAAAAATAGAAAAGACTGTATGTGATGCTTACATGCAGTTACTGCAAAAAAAAAAAAAAAACCAGCAGCTGTGCAAGCAGATATGAAAAGAGGGAAAAGAAATGCAGCAGGCTAGAAGCATTACACTTTAAATCCTCTACATTTTTAAAAACAGATACAAAAATACTTGTTGCAAAGCCCAAGAGAAAGTCTTCACCAGCAAAAATTTACAAGAAAGAGCAAAAACATTATAGTAAATTTGGCTTCAGTCCCCCCATCACACATACAAACCAGTTGGAAACACCAGCATATCACTGGACAGGAACACTAGTTTTAACCCCTTTCCTCGTTCAAACAGGACTCATGAAAGTAAAACACATACTACCACCAGCCCCTGGCCACATTTAGATTTCAAGCAGATGTTAAAAGCTTCATCTTTTGCTCTCTGCACACAGACAAAAAGTACTTTTTTTTTTTAAGAAAAAAAAGAACTTTATCATGGTAAAATGGAGAATTGTTTGTCAATATAAAACTAAAATGCAAACCCAACTTATCTTTAGAATTCCAATTACTACTGACTTTTTATCTATGTGCATATTTTCATCTGCATACAGGTCATTAGTAGAATTTAAAACCGCTAATACAAGTCCAATACTGATCTAACTGATAGGTCTATACTAGCTAGTACACGGAAGTATAATAAAGGCTTGCCAGTGAACTACACAGCCATCTGTAAGAGAGCAATAAAATGCTACAGGCCTCCCATTGCTGTTTCTGAGCTCTAACACAGTAGAATTTTATAGTTACACACAGCTTGCTACCTCAATGAAATAAACCACTAGATAATGAAGATATAAAAGAAAGAATTAAAAGATAAGATAGAGCAGACAACCTAGGATGATCTGTTGTTTTCTGAAATTACTGCTGAGACACTCAAAGACAATCCTACATCAGATTCCCTGTAGACTGGGAATATGTAAAGCATTCTCTCAAAATGAAGCATCAGAAGGGCATTTAAAAAATACCAAATCAATAGTAAGAATTCACCAGAAGCAGATACTATTCAGCTGATGTGTTAAAGCATCATAAAATATGAAATTGCCAAATTATTGGTTCTTTAAAAACTTAGGCTTCAGGTGACCCAACTAAAGAGGAATGGAGAATGTAAAACATTATCAATTTTTTCCACAGTTTGACAAGGCAATCAGCAGAAGCAGAACAAAGACAGTCTGACTTCAATACCAGGCCAGGTGGTTAAATCATACTGAAGAATTTGTAGACTGGAATAACAGGGAGAATAAAAATACACCACTGCTTTTGTAGAGGAAAATCATGCTTTGCAATTTGAAGAGTTCTTTGAAGTAACGAAGGATCCTGCAGGTAAAGGTGCTGGAATTAGTGGTGAACAAAAGATTTCTAAGAAGTTTCTGCTGATGTTTCTCATCTGAAGCTATTACAGAAGTGAAGACCTTGCAGGCTAAGACATAGAGAGAGAAAGACTCACAGGGGAGAGTCAGAAGCCTCACCAGAATCTAAGCCAGGTCTTGGACTGCTGTTCAGAATGGTCACCGGCATATCTGTCATTTCATATATCCGTGCTTACGTTTCCAAATTATACAAGATTATTATGAGCAATCAAAACTGACACATAATTAAAAAATTTACTAAGAACTCCAGAACACTGAGCAACAAGCATATAAAACAGCAGATGAAGTCACATGTCTGTAAATGCAATGTAACACACTGGGAGAGAGAACTGTAGGTTATTTAATGCCATTACCAGAAAAAGGTCTGGTAGTCCCTGAACATATACCTTCAAAAGTATCTGTTCAGTGCTTTGAGGTAGTCAGGTTAGGAACCATCCAGAATATCATTTTTTTTAAATGAAGGGAAAAGAGAATATAAACACATACTGCTGACACATTTGTGCTGCTCTAAACCTTCAAATTATTCTAGCTCATGAAGAATGCAAAGCATCAAAAATAGTATAGGTATCACTGCTCAAAATATGGATCAACTTCTGCACAAAGAAAGTAAAGAGAATTTTTTAGCTCACAAAATAGATAAGTATGACAGGGTGTCAGATAAAAGTACCAAAAAAAAAAATGATAGCACGAAGTGACATGGTATGTCAGATCCCTGAAGTGTTTCCCAGAAGAACACAGGGACAGAAAATGAATTTTTTTAAAGCTGCTCTTGAGTAATTCTTTGCCTAGTAAATAATTAAATGAGAGAATTCAATGTCTAAAGATACTTTTGCAACCAAGAAATAAACAGGTTAAAAAATTATGATAGAAATTCATGAAAAAAGCCACAGATCTGTTTAACAGCAGAACTTCAATCTCAAGACATCTCTAAACTGCAAAAGCAGGACAGGAACTACTATTCTTCAGTTGTGCCAACATCCCTCCTTACCTGACTGAACCAAGTGAAGTCTGTATCTCAACACTTGCTCACGTACAAGCATCTTCCCACAGTGTGCTCTCACTCTGTTATCCCTACAGCTGTATGAAAAACAGCTTTCCCTAGCAGGTCTTGCAGCTGTGATCTTATTAAAAATACATGCAAATAAGAAGGAATGAGCTCCATCAAAGAACTGGATTTCACTTGTCAGTATATCAAAAAAATACACACATAAACCAAAAAACAAAACAAAACAAACAAAAAAAAAAAAAACAACAAAAAACCAAACCACTGATAAAAGAATGACAAGATACACTTCCTCTTTTGGATATAAAAAGTTTTCATTTACCTGTTGGAATTCTCTTCACATGTGCAAATGGTAGTAATAGACACAATGAAAGTAAGTCACTAATAATCATGTAGGTATAAGGCTTACTATGTAAAGAGCCTATCTAATCCTTTCCTGTTCCACTGAAATACCACAGAAAGATTTTTGTCAAGACTCAGACTTCTCAAGCTATCTGATTTAGCACTCCCTGCCCTTAGCATGAGGAAAAAAGTTTTCAATGAGCAAACCTAACCTTCCCCACTCTGTGACTGAGGAACAGAGAGAAATGGCTAGTCACTTCTGTACAATCTGAATATACCGGTTTTGGACTAAGCTATTTTGATTCTTTTAATTCTTCACTTTAAATCATTTTCTAGACCACTGCTGTCCTCTGAACACCCTCCAATTAGACACTATCTCGCAGATCAGAACCTAAAACAGCTGGGTACTGTACAACCCATCAATTCTGAGAAAACCAGAGAGATTACTTGAAATTACTTCTGAGCTTCTGCCCAAGTGCTTCAGTCTCTTCCAAACAGCATGATACTGTGTCCTACTTTGTGATCAAATAATTCCAGGTCCTTTTCCACAGAACTGCACCTTACCCTGTTTCTTCCCCCATCACCTACTTATGCAGTCCAGCCTATAGACTGTGTGTTGTTGCTTTTGCACTGATGCCTTGCTCTGTTCCAAATGATGTCTCCCATCTGCCAAGATGATTCTGAACCGTAATCTCATTCTCTACAACACCTGCAGCTGTTCCCAACTCCCCACGGCCTGAAATCTTTCGCAACATATCCTTTATCATCTCAGGCTTCCCGTGAAAAAAGTGCAACGGGAAGGGATGCCATGTGGTAGTGAACCATGCAGTAAGTACTCTTCAGCTGCAGTCACTCCACCACTTTTGCTTCAATCCTGTAGAATTTTCTGCCTCAGAGTCAGAGGTAAATAGCAAGGCAGATGCTGGAGACCGAATCTCACCAGGCAGAAAAGTACAAGAGGGTGAGGGCCTGTAATCCTAATCTAAACCTAATCTACAGGTTAAGAAGAGCAGAGCTAGACTGGCTACCACAAGCCACACTCTGCCTGTGAGCCTCTGGACTCTACGTCATGCTCTTGTTAACACTGAAAATGGCAATGTCATGTACAAAATAACACACATACACCTTGCTTTCACAGGGTAAATGAACCTAGTTTCTTGCTACCTCCTACATGCTTACAAATAAAGA